TCGAACTAATTAGAGTAAATTTATGTGAGAACTTATAATTATGAACTTATGTAACTATATGGGAAGAAGGCAAGACGATTCATCCGATTTTAAGTGTTCGGCATTGCTAATATGTTGTGCCAACCAGTCAAAGAGAGGGCCCCAGTTAGCTTACTGCACTAGGCTAGGTAGTGCAGTAAGCTACATGTCACTAAAATAGTATATTGTGTGACAAACATGGGCGCCTATTTATTTAAGTTATGACTTTTTCAGTTATGTACTAGATACATCGATATCTGTCAGATTTATATAAGCTTGTAACTTTCTCTACCTCATTTCCGCTGCGGTTCTTGATTGATGCCGTGCAATCATTTTTGTTGTTCTGATTAATGGATTAACAGTGTTAGGCTTTGCTGATGCCGATTCTAATAGAGTGCAAGTTTTCAACACAACAATTTCCTTTAAAGGTCTAGGTTTTTTCTTTAAAAGAGGGTCTAAAACACTAATTTGCCGCGAATTGGCAGTTTTAATGTTAAAATACCAAAGGCGAAAACTGTACCCATAGATAAATTTTGTTTAAACGCATAAACGTGAAAACAGAGCCGTGATAGCTCAGTGTCCGGGCGCTCGCCTTTAATTCAATATACTCGAGCAACCTGAGTTCGATCCCCGGTGCCAGCACCAATGAAGTTTTTAACTTTAAGTGCTGACTTGTCACGTGCTCCGCGGTGAAGGAAAACATCGTGAGGAAACCTGCATATTTTCGAAAATAATAACAAAAAAAAATATTTTTCGAAGATATGTGAAGTCCGCCAATCCGCAATGGGGCCGCGGCGTGGAACTATGCCCTGAACCCTTCTGTATAGAGGAGGCCTTTGCCCAGAAGTGGGACATGTATAGGCTGTTACTTTTACTTTTTGCATAAACGTTAGGAGATACTGTTTGGAGATACAGTTCTGTATTATTAAGAAACTTAAGTAAATCATATTTCCATTTATGGCGGTAATTCATGACCAGTTAACGTTTCACGGAGAAGATGTCATATTAAGCGTTTAACAAAGCAACGAAGGAATATATTCGCTACTTAATAAAAACTAACCGATTTTGTATATCATAATTTGCAACGGCATTGTTTAGTTACTGCTGATTCAGGCGTTAGATTAACTTTCTAAGCCACATAACTTAAGCATGACGCGTCTGTTATAAGTTTGGTTCTAATCTCGGAAGACTGTAGGTTGGTAAGCTTGTGTGGGTGACGCTATTGTGTTAATAACGATATAGTATGTTATTTAGCAGGTTATAATAATTATTGAAATTTATTCGCATGCCCGTATTTCTGTTTGATAATTTTATTCGCCTTGCAAACCATACTTATTTCGATCATACGACATAGGTTAGAACATATTAAAAATTCAAGGTTCGTTTCAAGTTATTTTTTAACTATGTTCGCCTTAGATATGTTAAATAAATTTGTATTTTAATATAATTATTATGTTAATTAGCCACTTGATAGTGTTTCTTTTCTATATTCAAATTTAGGTATCAATTTTTACTATAACTTGAAAATAGAGAAAATTTTATTTAAAATAAATGCTTTCATATTTCTTTATTTTCCTTTCATGGATCAATTGTCGAAAGGACTTGCGTCTTTTATGACTTGACGAATACTTTTAAAAAATAAGATAAATAATAAGTGGAAGGTAAAATAAAGGTTATCTGTATTCTTGCTTTATTGTGGCCGTGAACTTTACACGTTTATCCTCCTTAGTAAGAAACCGGTGTCTTGTGCCATTGTTGCCCTAATGCCTTCAAGAAAACACACATTGCGAAAATGCCTTTTGCCAAACAAAAGCGTTTTAGTAAAAATGGAACGAGACCAATCATCGAAAAGAACCTCGCTTGTATGAGGTGGTGTTGAAATAGGAATCGCAAGCGATTGTGAACTCTAAAAACTGAGTGTGATAGGCGGAATTTGCATTTTAAACATTTCATACAGGCTTCTTTCGGTGCGGAGCATAATAGAAGAATGCAATTAGGATCGCGGGCACGTTGTCATTTGACTTGGAAAGCAGTTGTTAAGAATCGAGGAGTCGAAATTTTCTGAAGTTTTTGGTGTCGCAACGTATCCTACGCGTTAACCATGCAAAAGTCATTACTTAAGAATTCTAACTAGTCGTATTACAAGCGACAGATTGTAACAGAGTTTTATGTACAATACGAATTTAGTCCGAAAAATTCGCAATAATCTCTTACCTAAGAAAATAAATACACAATTTTCTTTAGTTAAACTATGTTTTTAAATACTGACTTAGTCCTAACAGTAAATATTGTTTCATACCTTTATTACTTTTCAATATAACATCGCATGATCATGATCGCATTCCTATTATGATCATTTTAGTTTCATAACGTGTGATTTAATCATCAATGAACATTTCACGTAACACGACGACCGTTTTTCGGCCCGCGTAGCGTAAGAAAACCTTAACCGCAAGCGTTACGTCAAACAGGGTAACAGTAAACAAGTAGTATGGAGATGCCGCGTGCGTATCAAAATGGAAAAGCAAGAAGGGAAAAAAACGATAGAACGAAGGCGTGTCGATTGCATCACGTTATCCTGCGCCGTAGTAATTGAAGTATCGATACGCCAGCGCGTCGCTAAAGGAAAATAAAAGTGAGACGCTCCAGCTCCCGTAACAAGCTAGCGGTAGTTTAACTGGCTCGGGCGCTCTGGTAGAAACGAATACGTTTTTTGCGACACGTTCGACAACTTCTCTCGAGCTGTTATAACACTAGGTCAATGTATTGAAAACTACTCTTTGTAAACGCGGCACAAGTTGGTAAAATCTTAGTTCTTAAGCGAGATACGGATAGGACAGTAATTTGATATTGATATCTCAGTGACAATGAGTTAACGTTATTGAATCCAGAATAAAGGTTTTGGCAATGGATGAATAACAAGTTACAAACTTTAAGAATGAATATATTATTAACGTAACCAATTGAGTTTTACTTCTCTTTCCTTACATTTGATCTTTCGAGAAGGATTAATGCTGTTTTTTGTCAAAAATCCTGCTCTGAACCTTCAATGTCCCGCTTTCTAAAAATATAATAATACTACTATTGAATCTAAAAATATTGTACATAAAAGTAAAGTTACGTCATAGCCTATATATCTCACACTGCTAGCCACAAGCCTCCTCTATACAAAGGGTGATTCCCCCTGTATTCCAGCAGGCGACCCCACAGTCAATTGACAGATTTCACATACGTACGAAATATTTGTTCGCCAGCTGTGGAAACCACTATAATATGGTAACTTCATTGGTTAATTACGCTAAAATGAATTATGCTTATAATATAAATAACATGTTCAATTGCTGTAATAAATTTCGATATCGGCACGATAGAACAAGTCATTCCGCTATGGATAGCGTGCGGTTAACCCACACGATCACCTGTCGATATGGGTCAGCGTCTCAGGGCTCCTTGTAAACAGGTCCCGCCTGTGACGCAATTGCGGGCATAACTGTAATGCAGCGGGCAAAGACCCTGTCCCGGCGATGATATAATGCAATTGTGAGCAATCGATTCGAGAATTAATTGCGCGGCGGCACAAAAGTTTTCTCCGAAGCTTGCTCCGTTGCTTTTCAGTTTGTTTACATAGTGTCCTTCATTCGGAAGAAAAAAGTTTACTAATGCCAAAACAAAGATTAAACATTCGTTTTAAGCTCCAAATTGTTATTCCTTTTACAGTACTTTACATAGTATTAAATATTTCTTTTCACTTGATTTGGCTTTTTCCCTTTCTCTCAATAAAAACTCACTACATCCGAGAACAGAAAATGGATTTTGTTTTTGATTTTCTCAATTTGACTATCAAAACTTACTCAATTTTTTAATGATTTTCCATTTTATGACCGATTATATAAAATATAATCACTTTTATAACTTATTGACTCTGCAATGTACGTGATTTGTTCACTTCTGCTTTATGAATTAACCATCTAGGCCATTTAATAGTGTATCACGGCAACTAGTCGATCAAGGCAATCAAATCCTTTTTATGTTGTAGGGACGCGTGCGCCGTGTCCAAGTTTTTTTTATTTTTTATTTTAATACATCAATTAAATTTCTGCTGCGTCAGAATGGAATAGGCAGCTAAATGCAGTTGCGAGTATGTTACGCTTTAATTAAAATTTCTTTGAACGTCAAATGTTTTAACGAATGTATTCATTTGAAGATTCCACTATGTTAGCTGTCTTAATTTATTGCTTGTTAATTAAGAGAACAAGTATATGCAATACGGTTTTTTTTAATTATGTTAGAAGGTGACAAATGGGTTGGTGGTGATAATCGCCGCAGATGCTTTGCCACATTTTAATAAAATGGGCCCCGGCTACCTCACTCACTGGAATTATACCACTTCCACTGCACGCCGCTCTTTTGTGAGGTCGTGGTACGTACACGGATGGACCTGCCGATTCGTGCAACAGAGCAGTGTTGCGTGGCCCCATCACTTCATTTACATTAAATTTACTTGCCTTATTGAGATACAAAAAGTATTTCTGTTCAATAATAAAGCCATTCCAAACCAGCAAGAATGCATGTAGTCATTGGCTTGTGATTTGAATTTTTCTAATTGGATATTATTAATCATGATAAGGAAAAGCCGTTGTAAAGTGATTTAATAATTGGACATTTATTTAAAAAAAATTAAAATTTCAAGGATATCTTATTTATTCATTTATATTGTTGGCCACCAAAGGCTGAAAAAGAGCTCACGTGGCCTTTGAGAGTATCTCATCAAGCTTAAAACATTATTTTTAAATCTGCGACCAACTAATATAGTGGTGTTAAATCAGTTCGGAAATCACTGGCTCCATCCAGCTTAACGATATTTCGCGCATCATTATGTCGACTGAACTCGAATCTATTAAAGTAAATGGTGTGACCGAAGCAGCCGCTCGACTTCCGGGCGCAAAATAATAGATGCTCGGTATGGGGCGAGTGACAATACAATGCGGGCCACTAACGCCAGCGTTAGGGGCACGCCGATAGGAGCAAATGCGAGAGATCCTATCGCCATAACACCTTCAGCGACAACATGCGGCGGCGTAATTGACGCGGCAGGCTTGGCGAGCAGAGACGTATACAAACCACGCCGCGTATCAGATGAATGGGCGGAACCGACGGAGGCGATCGTTAGATACGGACCGCGATCCCCAATGCCGAATCCAATGCCACACATTGTTAAGTCGGAAGGAAGCGGCGCTAACTATCGCTTTGTTGGCTCTATGTAGAGACGCGGCTCTACATGGCGCTGCGCTCTTCGCCGTTCGCCTGTGGCGCTTGAAGCGATTATATAAACGAAAAAACCGTTGGTTTTACGTAAATTGGATATCAAAATTACTGCCTTTTAATCAAACAGATGTATTTTTAGCAACTTTTTCCATAAACACGTTACACATAAGTAGGATGAGATAAGATCGAATTGACAATCAAAGTTCATCTTCGACAATTTTTTGGAGAACAATATTAGGTGTATCAGAAATTGTTTCTTTTTCCATTTTTGTTTTTAACATGACTGTATATAATGAACAAAAAATTTCGGCGCCGTAAATCTTTTTTCATTAAAACGTCAAAGAAAATGTTTTTTTCCACTTTTTATAATGAATTTTATATAAAATCTTCAACGGGGGCTTTAAACAATAATCATTTCTCTCTAAATAAATCCACGTCTAGATTACCGAAAAACACGGATACAGATTTCCATATTAAAATTAAATGCCATAAAAAGTGATCTATAAAACGACATATGTCAAATAATTAATGCATAATTAGAAAATGTCACTGAATCGTAATATGTGATGATGAGGATTTATCGTTGTTCCAGCCTGGGACCGTTTGACACGGCGACGGGTAGCGAGATGGTGTCAAGACGGCGCATACTGTCTCGATCCCGCGACGACCTCACACAGGCTTTCGCCCCTCAAGTGGAGGAGGAAGAGGACGTGTGGTACCAAAAGGACAAACTCTACAAGGTGAGGAAACATAATTCAGCAGATTGGGCAATCGTCAGTTCATGTTAAATTTAATTCTGTAGTTGGTCCAAAGTCGATTTTTCTTTTTTATGTTAGAAGGCGGTTCACCTGATGTTAAGCGATAACCGCCGCCCATTGTCATTTGCAACCCCCGTAGGGTTGCAGATGCGTTGCCACCTTTCACCAAAGTTCAGGCTACCGCAGGCACTCGTCAGACGAAACGCAAAAGTATAACACTTCCACTTCTTCACTTTCTTTGAGGTCGTGATACTTACCCAGACGGCCCTGCCCATTCGTACATCAGCGAAGACTGTTGCGTGGCCCTACCACAGTTAGACGAAGTTGCAAATGCTTTAATATTGACATATTTCAAGCATTATTAAACGCAACAATCTACCATTACTTGTACCCCCTTATTCGAGGAAAATGTGGCAAGAAACCTTATGGTAGAAGAGCATATTTTTTTGAACACTATGTAATTTTTAAAAATAGAATTATTGTAAAAATAACAGGGCTCAGACGGATTGCAATGACAGAGTGGTCTCAGATTAAATATAAAATTATTTCTACTAGTGGTCGAATTTCGACCATAATTAATTATACATGGTGGTGTGTAATGTTTTTATTGTTTATTTAATGTATTTTTTATGTCTAGTTAAAAATTTCATCCTCCGCCGTCCGCGCAATTTTCGTAATAAGGGGTAAAAAGTTTTTGCTTCACGTATTAATATGAAGATTTATTATATGCTAACGTATCAGAATTGCAGGAGCGGATTCATTTACAGTTGGGATGCACCTATTTGTTTGTTTTTTCTATGTGAGAAGATGCTGGCGGTTCACCTTATATTTAGTGATAATCGCCACCCATTGACATTTGCAACAGACGTTTATTTAATTTGGTTTAGTTTTCTCAGCAGTAAATAAAGTAATTAATAAGATTAAAATAATCTCGGCGAAAGCCGCATATAATTTAAATAGAATCAGCTACCACCAGTTGACCACGCTGCCGATTATAATGCTTTTAGAACACTGATCACTGTTAAATCCCCTTAAATACCCTTTAATACTATGACGATCTATCAAGGGCTCACACAAAGTTTAAACAAAGGCGCACCTATCAATTCCTTAATCACCGAATCAAACAAATCGAAGAAGCAATAACAAGCCCATGAAGTAGTAACAGACGCGTACACTGCCCAATCAGCTCTTAACTTTCTACACATCAATCACGAGGTCGCCGAGCCGCCGTTAGCAATGTTCACGCCTGAGTTCACACCGATACCGTAATAATAGATACAACGAATTACGGTGTAAGAGAAACCGTTTTGTTATTATGTCATGTTCTTCAAGACATTTCACGCTAAGACAATGAAATGGCTCAATTTTGGCGTTTGTGTGTAGCACACACACGTTTGTGTGTATACTACACATGTTTATGTGTATACTACACACCGGACGGTGGGTGCTTCTGAATAGGAAACTTCGAGATTGTCATTTGTAAATTTGACGTTTGCCTGCTGATGTACTTTTGCGATCTAAGGATGAAGAATATGTTAGAGATTTTAACACCTTGCTCATAATCAGTTATCCGTTCTTTGGAAATCCGTGGTACACATTTCCTTGTTCTAAATATCGATTATTATATTTACTTAATAAAAAGTTTTTACTTAGTAACTTTTGCATTTATCAATCCTCATATTCTCCGTACTTTGATTGTTATTTATATGATATGATTCTCATACAATTTCTCTTATCTATTGTTTTTTTTTTTAAATAAAAACATGACGAAACGTTTCTAAAATAAACGAATTCGCATTTTTAAATTATTCTAATGGAAGAAGCGTTAGTGGAGGCTCTTAATATCGCCGCGATAGGAGCAAGTTTGGACGCTTACGAAATTTTGTATAATTTTATGATTTTGAATGCGGATTTACATTTTAAAGTTCGGCCACTGTGCGTATAATTTCATAAGTCACATTCCGCTTGTATTGAAATTGGCGAAAACGGCCAATTTCTTACCACAGGCTTAATTCAATCAACTATAATGTCCCATGGTTAAAGCTTGCATGTACGTTTTAGTTTCCTTTGTCTATGGTTTGTTAGGTTTTTGTAACAGATTCCGACTACTTATGGTTATTAGGAACTTGGGAATAGGCCTCAAAGGGCCCGTTTAAGGCTGGATTCAAATATGGCAATCAATATTCTTTATATTTATATATATTTCTGACCTGTAGTTGGGCCAAGCAGCAGCTTCTGCTTTTGTATGAATGGGCGACTCCGGGGAAGGAATTTCTTCTATCCCTGGGGCATAACGAACTGTTAGTACATATAATAGTACATCGAACATATAGTATGTAACAGGTTAAAATAAAACACACAATATATATTGCCGATAGTGATAATAACAGAATTTCCATTTTATTCTCAATTACTTTATAAACCTAACTAGCCGATCCGGCAAACGTTGTTATGCCATAATTTTTCCGAAAAATAAAAATAATATTTTAGCATGAGTCACCCTTAACACTTAGGGGTATAAAAATTAGTTAAACCTATTCTCATACCTACTGAATATACATGTAAAATTTCATCAAAATCGGTCAAGCCGGAGGAGTATAAACACAAAAACTGTGACACAAGAATTTTATATATTAGATGGATTGCACATCAAATTATCTGTTGATAGTTAGATAATGTTGTACAAATTAGCTGGAGCGAATTCGCAATAACCATCATGTAAGTCGGATAGCTCAGTGTCCGGGCGCTCGCCTTTAATTCTATATACTCGAGCAACCTGAGTTCGATCCCCGGTGCCGGCACCAATGAAGTTTTTAACTTTAAGTGCTGACTTATCACGTGCTCCGCGGTGAAGGAAAACATCGTGAGGAAACCTGCATATTTTCGAAATAATAATAAAAAAATATATATTTCGAAGATATGTGAAGTCCGCCAATCCGCAGTGGGGCGTGGTGGACTATGCCCTGATACCCTCTGTATAGAGGAGGCCTTTGCCCAGCAGTGGGACATGTATAGGCTGTTACTTTACTTTACTACTTTAAGTCGGATAATCGCTGTTTAAGTTTTGTTATGAATCTCCGTTTCAACGTTGCGTTAGATAAAGATGTACTGTAAAGTTAATAAAATGTCAAACGTGCAAAAAATGTAATGTCCTAGTGATAAATGGCAGTAAAATAACTCCGTAGTACAGTTGAAGATATTTGTTTAAGATCGTTTTAAAATATTTGTATGAATATAAACGCAGATAGACAGAGATTACCTCTGCATTTATATTCGTATTAATAAGTAGGGTAAGTAATTTGTAATCCGGTTAATTATCTTGCAGTGACACACCAGTTCCCCATATGCAATTTTTTTTTTCTTTCATCGTCAAAATTCAGAACTTGTCTCAAGTCATCACTTTGAAAATGTACATCTTTCTCTATCTCTATATTAAATAACTGAAAGCTTCTACTATTAACTTCTTCCAGAAACGTACGTTCTTTACATCTTCCATAAACGTATTTATGGAAGATGTAAAGACTTGTCGATTGAATTTCGTGCATCACTAACCTGTTCATCTTTAAAAACAATAAGCGAATTGCTGATGTATCCCCTGTTTCAATTATCGACACAAAACAAGATTGAAAAGCGCTGACCCATTGATCTCGATCGTGACCGATGGACAACAATGGTCGGGTTGTAGCACCGCAAATTGTCCGGAAAGCATGTGATCTAAAGTTAATGTTTGACCTTAGCGTTGGGACAATGTCAAAATGTTTTTTAGCGAGCAAAAAACATCTTTATCACGTTTACGAACTTCAAATCGATTTCGGAAAAAAAAGAACATCGAAATTCGTAAATTGTTCGAGAGTGTTTCAAATAAATTTAAAAATGTTGTTTCTTTTAATGTGTCTGTACCAGTCTGATTAAAAAAAAACCTTTTGCAATTTTTGTTCATATTTAGCTTTAAGAAAATAATGCAAAGTAGATTGTAACATTTAAGCGTTTCTTATGTTAACAAAATCATAACAATTTTAATTTCTAACGCTGTTTAATTAAGTTTATAAGCTCACTTTTTCACGTATTCATTGCGAATTATTAATGTGGGTGTAACAAAAACATAAGAAAAGTCGGTGTCATTAATCATCACGGCATTGATCCTAAGTGACAATACCTGTCCGTGCAGAAGCTTAAGGCAGATTGAGCCCAGCCCAAATCACCCTTCATTTAAAATTAATTTTCACCAGTGATCCTTTCAAATCAAGAAGCTTCATTTAAAACGCATTTTAAGAAACTCTCCCCTTAATGATTGTGATTTATTTTAGCACTTCACGCTTGACTCTTTGAAGGCAATGATCAGGCATCAGGCGCACTTATTGTTTAACTGCTATGTTTTAATAATCGCTTCCGACTGCATTACTTCGCAAACTTATCCAACAGTATTTTTGAGCAAATACATAGAATACGTAAGGTAACTTATACTAAGAATTTTCTGAAACACGTTAAAGAATTTTTTTGTAACATAAATATGGTCAGATAAACATATATGTAAAACATTATATAGAAATATACATGTAAAAGTAGCACATTATTACGTCTCAATTGTCTTGTAAAACGCACAAAATCACATAACTAAAAACACTATATTACTTCATACAAAAAGATTTAAGTAACTGTCCACCGACAAGTTCAAATCACATAATAAACAAAGTAAAAGCGTTTTTGACTCAAACCGGTCGTCAAGGTCTTTTAAATAATAATTAACTGCGCAACCCGACTTGAGAATACATTAGAACTGTTGTCAAAATAGATTGATGCTTAATCCCTCCATTAACCTCAACTTAGCTCCTCTCCCCTATCTAAAGTTGTTTAAAAATAGTCACGACTGCTCTTTGAACTCAGATCTAGCTTAATATCAAGGTCCCCTAAAATTATATTCTATTCAGGCCAACTGCTAGATAATTAGAAACTTTATATTGTTATCTGAATATATTTAAATA